GTTTGCATTCGGGTGTTCTATCTAAATCGTTTGTGATGGGTGTTTTAAATTTGAAAACCATTGCTGTTTTTTTAATATAGTGACTTTAGATTCATATGATCGAGATACTAATTGCAGCGGTAGCGGAGGCGGCGTGCTGCACTGGTGTTGTCGTTGTCGTCCTCCAGGACGCCGTTGTTGAAGTCTTCAAGCCAGCTCAGAATGTTCTTCACTTGGAAATCAAAGACCCTGTAGTCGGGTGGTCGACGAGCGCGACGCAGGAGGACGACAATTCGTGGCGCTACGATGTAGCGGTCGACGGTGGCATCCCATGATGCTGAGGGGGCGCGCGGCCATGGAAGTCAAAGGGCTCGCTTCCCAGTTATCCTGCGCGCCGTACAGCTCGCATGCTTCCTGATGAGCCTGCACAACGGTGGACTGCTTGCATGCCTCCCGGTCAGCCTGCGCAGCGGACTGCGCTCGCACGCCTCCCATCTACTCAAGCAGCTATCCGCACGGCACCTCCTAGCCATTAAAAGTTTGACGCGTGGCGTCGCGTGAATGGTTAGTAGAACGGCCACGATTTAAATTATCCAAACGTTTGAGATATAACGAGACAACTATTTGTTTTCAAAATGCCTTTGTTGGTTGTTAATTCGTGCGCCTTCTATCAAATTGGACACGAAAAATAACACATCATGTGGTGCCATTCCATGATAGCACATGCCAAGTTTCATGAATTTCAGACAAGTTTTGGATTTATTAGAATTTTAAAACAAAGTATCTCAATGTTATCGACTGAGCCACGATGCCCAGGTGTTTGAAATTCATTCTCATTTCTTGCATGGGACCCAAGCATGCACCCAAGGTCACACATATGATTTTTCAACCCAATTTGCTACAATAGAGCATGTGCATGTAGTTCAAATTTGAATTATGCACATAAAATGCGTAGGAAACTCGGTTAATGTATAGAAATGTCCAAACGAACCCCGAATAATTTTAAAATTTAACATAACACTCCGGTCAGTGTGTGTTGTATCTAGAAAAAAAATCAAGGCAAGAAGGGGCAATAGATGTTGTTTTGTCCGGAAAGGTGACACACCTTCCCTACCAGACCACAAGGCTTCTTGTGAGAATCTCTGATTTATAAGGAGCGTATACCATAACTTGCTCCAAATGGGACAATTTTTTACCACGGCATGTTGGTGCCATTCCATGATAGCATGATAAATTTTATGAATTTCAGATGAGTTTTGGATTTACTAGAATTTAAAAACTAAGTATCTCAACGTTTGCCGGCAAGCAACGGTGCTGAGGTGTTTAAAATTCATTTCCATTTTTTGCATGGGTCCTGATCATGTACCCAAGGACACCATTTGATTTTTCAACCCATTTTTGCACTGGAGCAAGTATATGTAGTTTAAATTTGAATTATGCACATAAACTGCCTACAAAACTTGGTTAATGTATAAAAATGTCCTAATGAACCAAAAAAAATTCAAATTTCAACACGACACTCATGTTGGTCTATGTTGCCACTAGACGAAAGTTTGAAATCAAAATGAGGCAACCAATATCGTTTCTCCATCATGAGGCTTCGTGTGAGAAGCTCTGATTTTTTAGAAGCTTATATGCAAATATGTCCCAAATGGAATAATTTTTCTATCACAACATGTTGATGCCATTCCATGATAGCATGCCAAGTTTCATGAAATTCAGACAAGTTTTAGATTTACTAGAATTTAAAAACCATATATCTTAATGTTTGCGGCCGAGCGACAACGCTGAGGTGTTTGAAATTCATTCTCATTTTTTACGTGGAAAAGCATGCACCCATTGACACACATTTGATTTTCTAATCCATTTTTCTGCACTGGAGCATGTATCTCAACCTATTCCCACCTATGTTAACATTTTTAGAAGGGCTCTTCAGGAAGTCCATAATCGCGCCCTGGTTTACATCCCACCGATGTTGACCATTGGAGGATGTGAGATCCAACGGCAGAAATTACATTGCAGCATGGGAGCATTTAACCTCCCCTATCACTTGATATGTTCCGAAGTTTGAGTACAAAAGTCATCTTTGACTCGTCTCGTGTCGCTCAAACTCCTGAGAATCAACGAAGTCTCATAGTCCTGACACAACTCTGACTCGAAAAAACAGAAGGGTATAGTCTACGGATTGTATTAGCAGGAGTGAGAGGGTGCTTGGATACAAGGGACTATTTTTAGTCTGACTAAAAATAGTCTCTTTTAGAGGCTAAAGTTTCAAGCACCCCTGACTAAAGAGAGGCTAGGACTAGTCTTGAGGCTAAAATCTTTTAGTCATGGGAAACCTACTAAAATATGTATTAGCTCTCTCTCTCCTCATTTAATTCCTCTCCTTAGTTCTGGATTGGAGGGTTTGGAGGATAATAAATGCTCAATAACTAGATTTTAGTCTCTTTAGTATTTGGATCCAAGCATGGGTGAGACTAGCAAGTTTTAGTCCCACTACTTTTAGTCATGGGACTAAAACGTATCCAAGCATGCTCTGAGTTGTTCGAGCCAGTCCACGGCTGCTCGCAAGTGGCGACTGTTCTTAAGTTATGTTTGCTGTTTCAAAAAAAAAAGAAACTGTTTCAAAATAATTTATGTTTGAAAAACCAAGTAGCAGCCGGCTGCTTCGTTTTTGCCGTGCGAGATCGGTGGTTTGGGCCTTTGGGGTGAGCGGAGCTGTGGTCTGGTTGACCGCTCGCTCCAGTCATACGCCGTTAGCTCACGTAGGGGTAAGAAAAATAATCGTTTGTTTGCATCATTCCTAGATTTTCAAATCCCAACCATGTACGCGGTACCACGAATACTCATGGCATGGACCAACATACTGATGGCGTTGGTCGTTTGGTTTGTGAGGCACGCAATTTCCTCCGTCACAAAAAAATAAAAAGAGGCACGCATTTTCTTGGGTAAATGTCATGGCATGTAGTAGCACTCCACAAAGGGCTTGAGTTTGATGTGTTGTCTGTTTCTGCAAGTCTCCAAATAGGTAGTGCCTTCATGAACTTTCCCTACTTGTTATCGATAACTATCGAATGGTGGCGTAGGCTCTACTGTTTATCAGTTCATCCTAAACTAGAGAAAGCACTCCCGATCTACATCTTAATCTACTAACATATCACACCACGAAATGCGGTCCAAGCTACTACAGTTCAGTCTGGCTACTTTTGAAAATTAAGAAAGAGTTCGTCAGCATGTGCGCTCCTGGCCAAAATGATAGGGCTCTTGAACTAGTTCGTGTCCACCCCTAAGACCAGTGCCGTACCAGTGTAGTACCGCGCCTAGCGACCAGCAGTGCTCCAAAGAAAAATGCCGCCTCAATCATCCGTCGACCGGTCGACGAAACAGCAGCAGCCCCATGCCTAACCAGTGGTGATCGCTAGTGCTAACTGCCAGCAGCATTTTTTCCCGAATGATTTGCCTTAGCGTGTTAACTGCCAGCAGCTTGGGAATTATACGAGCGGACCACCGAAATCGGGCCACGAGGAAATTGTTGTTCTGGGTCAGATTCGGCGTAAATGCGACCCAACTGTGTGATTGAAATGTTTGTCGCCGGATCAGCCAAAACGATCAAAGATTAAGCGTCGGTCAACCGCAACAAGATATGGCTGGTAGAGAAAGGTGTACGTGCAACACGAGACCTCCACCAGTGGCCGTGCCGCGAGTCATGTGGCGCAGCAGCGTTGCAGGCTTTCTGCGTCGTGGACGGACGCGCACCTCCCACTCCCACATTTCCGGGGCGGCCGGGCACGTCGCTCTTGCTCATAAAGGCGCATGGGTCCGGAGAAGATCGGGGCGGCGTGCGGCGCCGTCCGATGCGCATCTGACGGTCGAGTATGGGTCGTCAGGGATTCGGCATGAATACGCCGATGGCGACGGGTAACTGGCTGACGGGGTAGCTAGCATGGTTGTACACACGACGGAGTATGAGAGACATATTGTCCCTGCTAAGCAAGATTTGGGACACTTGTAGTACAAGTGATCGGCAGTAGGCAGTAGCTAGTCGGCACGCGTGATAATAATGACAAAAAGGTGTCAAACTGGCTAAATACTGTGAAATGATGGAGAACTAGGGCAGGGTCGAAATGCCCTTCCTAAGTCTTAGCCTAACTCGCCGTTCTCAGAATCTTCTGAATCGGGATCCGTGGTTGTGTCTGTTGGCGTGGCTGAAATGAACGAAAAGCGTGACGATTCAAATCGATTGATGATATATGGCATGATCTATTCTGATAGATTGATAGGTTTTCCATCAATAATAAGGGTTTGGTGTAATACTACACCTCAGTGCCCCTGACCTGAGTGACGACTACTGTCTTGGATTTCCGCTGTCTCTGGCCTTCTTCCTTTTTAGAAGTAAACAGACCAAATGCTAGCGAGAGCCAAAGGAGGAATCTCAAACTCAAAGCATCAGGTAACACGAAGCAGTTGAGCAAATGATCAGGCGAGAGTAGCAAACAAAGAATCTAAACGAACGACCAAAAGCAGCAAGACTGAGACATACTCCCTCTGTAAACCAATGGAGATCAAAAGACAGTTGCCCGGCAAGATTTTGACGTCCACTGCAGAAGCGGGACTACTACTCTGTCAAGCTAGTTCATGGCATCACAGGAGAAAATACTAGCTTTGGATATTCAGTACCACTCCATATATCAAAATGAAACAGAATTACACTGTACTGACCATAGGCATTTCGCACCACCTTTCATACTACAACAAATACGAGATCGGCCCGGCCAGTATGGGGCCAGGCCAGATATAAAACCCAATTAGTCGCCGGTATTTTTTACCATCATGTTGAAGAGAACCACTTATTTGTATAGACTACAGGGGGGTTCCTTCGATTCTCCAGCAGCAATTTATAGCAACAACAAACATCAGCATTTTGTGCACAGCTGGGAGCATCCATGCTATCTCAACAGTGGCCCTGGATAATTCATGGGCCCTTTGAATCAGAGTATGTTGCCAGCAAGGAAAGCAAACGATCAACCAGCGGGCTGTACTCTGCTCCACCGGCTGTCGTCGTCCTTGAGCTGTTGAATATAGCTGTATCGGTTTTCTCTGATGTAAGTTACTCCAGACCATATCCCTCGAACAAGAAGGATGCTTATAAACACCATGCTTCCAAATGTGCAGACCACCTGCACAGAAAATACAAACAAGTTACTGAAAGAAAAGACTAAAAGTTGAGTTTTCCACAAGCATCAATGCAACGTTTCAGACAAACTGTAAATTCATCGTTCTGATAAATCTCAACGATGGACTTTGCCGTGTCCCCCTGAAATGCAAAGTATGTAAGTTAAAGCTTTGAGAGGTACTCCCTCCGTTCGGAAATAAGTGACGCTGTTTAAGTTTTTGAAATGCAAAGTCTGTAAGTTACAGCTTTGAGAGGTAATCCCTCCGTTCGGAAATAAGTGACGCTGTTTTAGTTCAAAAACCAAAACAGCGTCACTTATTTCCGAATGGAGGGAGTACATGGCAAGTACACTACGTGGAAACATTTAGCTTGCCCAATAAATGCAGTAAGCAGGTAGCCAGGCATCTTCCAAAAGCTGAATAATTAAACCTTTATTAATATCTCAAAAACAAATGCCCACATGCCAACGGATGCAACTGGTGATTTTTTTTCCTGCCTCTGTTTTAGGCAGCTGCAACCCTAACTGGTGTATTGATTGCACGAACCAACTACCAGCGTGACATCAATTTCTTGGCTAGCAGGTAACCACAAATATGACATAAAATATGTATGAGTTCAATAGATTATGACGGCAGCCTAACTCCTATCCAGAATTTTAATTCTGGGGTGCGTGTTGATTCTACAGCCATATTTCTGATTCTGGTTGATTCTCTGTCATCAGTCACTACAAACACAGGCTGGAACTAGCTATCATGCAATACAACGGTCATGCAGCACTTCAGAATGTTATTGATGTTCATGTCCATATAGTGTGAGGACTCTGCTAACCCTGATGGGAAGAGATGCACTTTCGCAGGCTCAACCAACACCCTGGAGGGTTATCTTGGAGTACTGTTTCCCATCCAACAAAATTCCAGTAAATAGAAATACAAAGTAGAATCCATCCCAGACGCTAAGGGTGTCATAATGAAGTATCGGACAACGGACATCTTGCAAAATGATAAGCTTCATGCACTAGCCAACGCAACCAAAAGTCCAAACTGATGGAAAGGGCTAGTGCAATCCACATATACTGTAACACCCCCTCTCACGTGTGACGGGGAAGACAAGTCAACACGTGCAACCGGAAGAGAGCGACAGCGCGCGAAACTCGCGTATGACTCAAGAGGCCTCTACGTGGACACAAAGGGGGGCTATCAGCAATTTTTAAATAAATTGCGCAAACCAGGACTTGAACTCAAGACCTTAGCTCTGATACCATGATAAGCTTCATGCACTAGCCAACGCAACCAAAAGTCCGAACTGATGGAAAGGGCTAGTGCAATCCACATATACTGTAACACAAAATAAAATGCTGATTGCAGAAACAGGAAAAACCGGTTCAAAATCCATGTCCATGGACCATACATAGAATAGATAACCCAAGAAAGTGACAGTATCATTACACGAGATGAATGGCGTAAGCCATAAGGTCATCTTCATGTCTTGGTGGGTACTGTTTAACTGTGCAAGTGCCAAAGATACTTAACTATTTGCATGCCAGGAAAGTTTCCTGCTGGCAACTCAGTAGAATCCTCATAGGGTGGTCACTGAATTAGACTGTATATGTGGTACAGACCATGAACTTAAAGTTTGATGATCCCTGTAAGCTTGGCATTTTAATCCAGGAAGGAAAAGAGCTGCCGCAGCAAATCAGTTACGAGGGAATTAGAGATGAAAAGAAACAGAACAGGGTTCTTCATTAACTAGCTCAACATGCTTGGCTTAACAAGGTTCTCACTTTTTCCATCACAATAAATTAACCTACCCACAGAAATAAGGTTGCAACTTTTAACTGCTGCAGAATTTTCCAAAAACGTAATTGCAATTTGCAAGCCCATCTACTAGTCAATTTGTGTGACAGTCTGATTTAATTCTGTTGAGTTAACCCACAACTACCTCTAGCAGTCAGTTTAATTGTGCCTGTCACGTCACTAGTAGAACTAGTAAATTGTACGTGCTTTGCACGTCATTTAAATGTATATAAAAAGCATGGAAAAATACATTTGAATATGTATTTCCTTTCCTAGAATCGTATTGGACAAGATCCAATTTGGTTCTTACCTCTCTAGTAGAATCCAGATTGTTCTAGTCCCTTTTTATTAGAGTATCAGATAAGCATGTCGACAGATGCTTCTAGAACACATGAGATGGTAAAGTTTGGGGTTCAACTAGAAGGCCACATGGCAGAATCCTATGAATTGAAAACTTAATCCAACGGATGATAATGCTCGGATTTGCCATCTCTTGACCGTTGGATGGGCATATCCAACGACTAATATTTGAAGCTATTGGCCCACTATATAGTGGTATACAAATAGAATGGGCCTAACTAGGGAATCACTGTATAACATGAAATAAGCAAAACAGTGCTAGTAAAAAATGGGGTAGAGGGGTTAGATTGCACAAACCAAATAATAGACAGGCTTAAATAAAGAACTTTGAGGTAGAAATTGTTGGCTGCACAGAATCAAACAGTACAGAGACATAAGCTGCAACTTTACATTTTCTATCGCAAACTGAGAGTGTTGGATCTGTACCATCTACCACAGGGTTACTGATCTGACACGTAACAGCATTAAACCAGCATAGATAGCTTTGGTGGCTAAAAAGAAATCAACAGTGGGGAATTTGAAGGGTCATTTACCAATAAGCAAAACGCCACGTCTAGCACAAATGTTTTGGCCTCATTTCACCAGTCTATTATATGCACAGCAGTAACATCCTGCCTCTGGCATCCTATGATCCAACCTGATGCCCTGATGGCCTGAAGAATGCACCTTCCCTGAGTGATTGCTGCTTCTCCTTGGGCTAATCCTACTTAATTTTGGGAGCTCTATGTGCTATTTGTACTAAGATCTGAAGCTCTCTCACTTGTAACCCCTCCAAGTGAGGAATGCACTCATATATATTCTTCTACTGGACCTATTTTCTAAAAGCAACGATGCTGATAACAAGGAAGTAACTATGTCTTGGTGTGACTAACTATCTGTGCGGTCTTACACACCTATTGAAACGTTCACTTTTGAGCAATTGCCTGAAAGAAAACCGGGGCAACCCCCTCACCATTTTTAGAAAATATCCATCAACCCAACAAAGTGATGATCACTTGTATCAGGCTAATTGATCGACATATAGCTCCAACCATATGGAGTCAGCAACAATAAGAACCACCCATTTTACTGCCCATCAAATTAGCTACCTATGCCAAAATTTCAGAAACCAAGGTTCCTATACATGTTAAGCATTTCCTAAGCAGACAAGTAAAGACTACTCAATAATTCTTCCTTGCTGCTTAAGAAAATGGTAGCCAAACCAGTATGTGTTTGTTCTTCAAACCAACATGCCCTCTAGATACAGAAATAAATCAGACACGGAACACAACGCTTTGTGCATATCAAGAGCACCATATCAGCACTGAATCGGCATTTCATTAAGTACTCCCTCCGTCCCATAATATAAGAGCGTTTTTGACAAAACTTGTGTCAAAAACGCTCTTATATTATGGGACGGAGGGAGTACTTCCCAAGCAGACAACTAAAGACTGCCCCATCAATAAGCACTAGCTGTCTTCCTCAGTTCTCACTGCCTAAGCAAATAGCAACAAAGAGTACCTATCTGTTCCCTGCACGAACATGCCCGTTCAAAGCACAAACTAGTGACTATCCCAGGATCATACAGCATCACAACCATTTGTTGCGCATAGAACACTAAATCAGAAATAGTATTTGCCCACAATTTTGAAACAGGGCATCAAACAGCTTATATGTGAAGGAATTCCTCACCTCAAGAAGCCCCTTGAGGATCCACAAGAAGGTGAGAACCAGCACACCATTGACCGAGAACTTCACCTGCACGCGCATAAACACGGGAACACCAGATCACGCACAAATCCGGTGGAGATCTCCATGCCGCTGATTCCGAACAAGCATGACAAACTCAAGCTGATAGAGCAAGCAGCGAAACGGACCAGCTCAGCGGGGACGGAGGGCGGCAGCACGGACCTGGCGGCGCGGCGCGCGCGGCGAGAGGCCTTCCTGAACACCGAGTGCAGGAACCGCGCCAGGAGGTCCAGGCTGCGGTCGTCGTCGTCTTCGTCCGCGTCGTCCTCCTCGTCTCCATCTTCCTCCCTCCCGTCCCGGTAGGAGGCGGCTCCTGACAGGTCGCCGACCCAGGGGCGGGCGTCTGGGACGACGACGACGGCGTCGGGATGGCGGCGGCGGGCGGCGCGGAGGAGACGAGTCGGAGGCGGGGCGCGGAGGTGCCGATTGAAGGGGGAGGGGGAGGGCTTGAGGTGGCGATGATGCCGGGAGGCGGGGGCAGGGAGGAGAGGGGGGAGGTGGCAGGTGATGGTCGCCATGAGAGGAGGCTGCTGGTGCTCAGCCTGCCAAGGGAAGCTGGTGATTTGCCCCCATTTCCCTTTTTTCCTTTTCGTTTTTCACATTAAATTTGGGAATTTACTGTTTAAGCGATTGCGTGTTTAGAAAAACTTGAGCCATTTGAAACTTTTGGAACTACTCCTATGATATACTGTTAACTGGAAAAATCAGCACACATATTATCACAATTATACTGATAAACTTAACTAAGATCACATGAATGGTGATGTCAAAACAAATCATACGAATGATCATGACCAGAAATGACCACCAACTATTTAAGATTAGGACCCGAATAACTACCAAAGGTTATATTTGAAGGATGCCTCATGCGAACATTCTATCCTGGATGATTCACTCGGAAGAAACCTCATCATGAACATTGTTTCCTTCCAGGACCGTTCGCTCAGGGTTGCCTCAGCGTGACGGTGTGCGTCTGGCAACAAAGCGACATGGATCAGGCCGAAATTACATTTTCTGATTTAAGCCAAGAAATGACATGCTACATATAATAAATTCAATGCAAGTAAAAAAATAAAATTGCTATAGCTTAACAGTGTATTTTTTGCATATGTATTAAAAAACATACACACAAAAATTCCCATGTTGTAGAGCATGAAAAACTGCCATGACAAAAAGAATAAGTTTGCAATGCTGCATGGCTTAACAATAAATTAGAAAAATTGTGATAGTCACATGCCAACTAAAGGAGGGATTGTTTATGTACAGCACGGCAAATCTTGACATAAATGTTTGTAGTCTTGACATAGCAACTTTAAGGAAAAAAATTAATAGAAGATAAATGGCAAAAGGTTAAACATTTTTTTTGAAAAATCACATAAAAACAAAATTGGCATGGAATATTCGGACAGTTTGCAATGGTGCACAAAAAGAATTTACAATGGTTTATTCAATGAACTTGCCACAGTAGGAACAATAAATTTGCCATGGTCCAAAGTAATGTACCAAAAAAATTTACCATGGTATGTACAGTCATAATTGCCATGGTGTTTATAGTAAACTTGTCGCGTTCCAAAAAAAATTGTCATGGTCAAAACAATAATTTAACATGACATAGTACACAAAAATAATTTACCATGTCAATAAATTTGCCATAGAAAAAAGCTCATACCCAACCGCGGCCTCCTCCTCCTCCTCCACAAAAAGAGCTAGGGTTTCTGCCTCCCGCCAGCGCTGCCGCAGATCCGCTCCTCTCCGGTGGCCCTAGGGCCAATGGGGGTGCGGTGGATCTCGTCAAGGGCCGGCGAGAGGGCTTCGTTTTTAGTTGTTTCTTTCAGTTTTGTTTGGTTTTGTGTCCTGCTCAGGAAGACGAGACGGCGGCGGCTCCCTCAAGATGGAATAAAGGTTTACCCGCCTAGACCCTGTTCCGGCGTTGCGTCTAGCACCCTTGGTGAGCGTGTGGAGGTGTGTCTCCGGCGGATCTATCTTTAATGGATTTGCTCAGATCTCGTCGTTGTTCGTCTACGTTCGTGTGTCTTCAAGTTGGATCCTTCTGATCTACGTTATTCTTCATCTGCGGCGGTTGCTGTTCTGCTGCGCTGGTCCTCGGGGCCTTAGCACGACGACTTGCCGACTGTCTACTATAACAAGTTGTGCCCGACTCCGGCGATGGAGGGGCGACGATGGCGGCGCGCCTTCGGCTCGTTTCAGTGCTTGTAGTCGTCGCTAGGTGGTCTACGGATCTGTGTGTAATTTTTATTATTTCTGGTATTCGTTGTACTGCCATGATTGAAGATGAATAGATCAGAAATTTTCTTGCAGATAAATAAATAAATTTTCCATAGTCCAAAAAGAAAAAGAAAATATAAAAGAAGATGGAATTTTTTTGTAAAAAATGTCACATGACAAAAGGTCAGATTTTTTATTGTAAAAAAACATGGCAAATGTTGTTTGCATGGCTAATTGGCGAAAAAAACATGGTATTGGGAAAGGATAAAATAGCCATGGCAAAATTAGATATTATTTCACTATGATAAATGGAAAAAACTATCTTATGTACATGAAAAAATTAGTTGTTAATAAAATAGTCATGACTAAATTAGAAAATAAACTACCACGATCTAATTAATAAAATTGCCATGTTCTATTTTTTTTTTAAAATCTCATGGTATAGATAATAGAAGTGCCATGTGACCTACAATAAAAGTACCATGGTGTACGTAATAAAATTGCCATCGTGTAAAAAAAATATTGACCATGGTGTAACAAATAAATTTGCCATTGGATATTCTTTTTGCCATTATCCAAATATAAATTTGCCATAGTCCAAATGTAAAATTTGCCATGTTAATAATTTTTTCATGTTCCAAAGTATAAATTTGCCATGGTAGATAATATACCATGGATTGTTTGGTAATTTGCTGTGGTCCCAAAAAAGAAATTTCCATGGTCCCATAAAGTAAATTCGCCATGGTTCGAATAGTAAATTTGCCATGGTCCATAAGTAAACATAAATTTGTCATGGTTAAAAATAATATGGCAAAAACACCTTTGTAGATCATGAAAAATGTGGATACAAAAAACTTTAAGAATTTGCAATGGACGCATCACAAATTTTAAGAAAATTTGTTCTCTAAAAACACATGGCGGTTTTTTTGGATAATTTGTAATGGGCATATGGCAGAGATAAGGATTGTGTTCTTTTCAAAAGATGGCAAGTTTAGGAATTTTCCATCTACACATGGCAAGTTTTGATGATCAAGACAGTAATATGCATTCATTTTATAACAACTAAACTAACCAGTAATATGCACAAACTTGTGTGGATCAACTCATCAAACCCAATCATTATTACCACTAATAATTCCAGTCCAGGCAGAGATGGCACATCACAGCGGACCACAAGCTTTTCATCCGTCTGCTTAGTCAAACTGTACAAAAGTCACACACGCACACACACACATAGAGAATCGTCCTCTCAACGACAGCAGTTAAACTCGCTAAAGCCCGAGGAGATCTGTGCAGCCTTTGCACATGGTTAACCGTCAGCTGCAGCCTGCCTAGCTACTCCACCTTCATCGAGTCTGCAACACAAAAAATGCAGCAGCAGGAAAAAAAATTCAGACGACACAGCACTGTACCGGAGCGTACGAAGAAACGCAATGGAGAGAAGCACGAAACCTACCGGAGTTCTCCAAGCTGCTGGTGCCAACGACGTCCGACGGGAAAGCAGCCGGACCAACATTGCCAAGTTCCTCGTCCCAGAGAATGCTCCTCTGTCAATCATCAAAGCCAATCATTATTAATCTCTCATCTAGACATCTAAGTAGGATGCTTTGTTCGAGGGTGTTGGATGCAGACAGACCTGGGGAAACGCAGACAGCTGCTGAGCCGTTCTCGCCATATGAACGCTTGCTGGGTTCGGGATGATGATCCCGTTCCCGTATAGTTCTGGGCGCGAGAGGCCCGGCTGCGACGCCCTGTACATATTGTTGTTGGGATGAACGTTGCCCAGTCGCTGGCCGTATCCCGGAAACGTGGAGTGGGCGTCCTGCGGGCAAAGGATCTGCACGGCGGAGGCGAACAACCAGAGGCGAAATGGTCAGTCTGCGACGAATGTTGTGTTTTTAACAGTCTATAAACACATGCGAGTTCTTTGTTGTTCAGAGTCTCCATTGATCTTACGTCTTGGAGATCGAGATCGCAGCTCAGCTCGGGGCTAACCGCCGAGAGCTTCATCGAGAGGAACTGCAGAAACCAAAATGGGCAACAGTAGGAGCTTCAGCCATTTGTTGGCCAAGAGTGAGTGAGTGATCTTTGAGGAATCTGTTTCAGTGTGCTTACCTCGACCTGCCGCTGCAGGGACTGCACATAGTTTATGATCTCGTCGAGCATCATGGCCTTGCCTGTAATCTTCTTTGTCACAGGCAGCCGCATCGGTTAAAATGAGTAAACCCATAAACATTTTACAATGAGCAAATCTCTGAAACTTTTGCTGAAGAGTGAACTTTCAGTTGCTGATGATGTTCATACCTTGTTGCAACCTGGGACGAGGTCCTGTAGATGCTTCATCCTCTCGTTGATCTTCTCCCTCCGAAACTGCATTTCAGACGGACGAGCTATTAGTCTATTATTACAAGCAAGAGAATCACAAACTGCAGCACTGTCAATTATGTTGCTGGAGAGACTGGTCACTCACCCTTTCTGCAAGGCTGTGGTTGTTGGTCGCCTGGCCGCGCTTCGCCCGGATATGCACGTAGTCCTCTCTGTTGCTAGCACCATCGCCTTCCTTCTCACCCGCGCGCTCCATGCTGACCTCTCTCTGAGACATGGCACCGGTTTCCTCCTGCTGTGTGGTATGCAAACGATGAGATGCAGCCCAAAATGATGAAACTACTAAGAACAGGGAAAGAAAGAATCTGTAACTTCATTACTTGCGAATGCATCATCGAACTGCCCTCGCCCGAGCCCTTCCTTTTACCGCCCTTCAAACCCTTCTCCATGCTCATATTTCTACTTAGCTCAGTACCACCTGGAGAGAGGTGGCAACATGGAAATGCCAGTGGTAAGAAGAACCTTCACAGATGAATGAACAAAAACCTTATTATGCTTCAACAGGAGAAGCGAGGAGAAGAAAAATACCAGCAGTAGGATTGTAGAACTGAACTCCATCTTGCATCCCTGCATTGTGCATAGGAAAAAGGACGTGCTCGTCGAAATCCATGGCATGGTCCAGCAACGCGAGCGGGTTGGCTCCGGCCGTGAAGCTCCGCTCGCCGTTGCTTCCAGCAGCAGAGCAGGGAGGGGAATACATCTGCCAAGAAAACAATGATCACTCACATGATCTCGACCATGTTGCCAACAACATCCCACGAATACATTTATTTATGGAAGGAACAAAGCCATCAACTTCATCAACCTTGTGCAGTTGTGCTTCGTACCTGATCTCAGTGTGATGCTGCATCCATTCTAAGGAACGCCTAGCCCTCTAAATTGCCAGGTTTGGCAAGTGAGAAGGGGCTTGCTTTACTTAAAGGGTGGAAAATGCGGAGGAGCAGATCGGGGTGGAGCTGGCAGTCAATATCTTGCAAGGCTCAACAAGGAACAACTAACCCTTGCAACCTTACATAAAGATTGTCCTCCAAAGTGAAAAAGTTAAGTGAGCCTAATGCAACGGACAGACGCAAGGGCAAAGACGGAAACCGCACCACAGTACAGGGAATAGAATTGTCGGTACTGCTAACAACCGTGTACCAGCTGGATCACATCCGCGGATCAGAATATATAAAGAGTTCTGAATTCAGCAGATCAGCTGGAGATTTTACAGTTGGTGGTACTGCGGAAATCAAGACCGGCCCGAGTATCAGATGCCACTGTCATCCACGTACTGTATGGGCCAGCCCGGAATAAGGTTAATGACTAATCAATGGATGAGTCAGATCTATCTATGCTTAAACCCTACTGGAAATTGAACCGTGCCCCACCATCACCAGGATTTCTGAGAACCCCATACAAGTTTTCAGTTTATGGCCCTTCTTTCTTTTGCAGAAAATTCAGTTTATGGACCTGTGCAGCTCCTTTGGAATATAGATATGATAACTCCACAGGGAGACCATGATAGTACTACCTTTTTTAATACAAATGAAATCATGTTACTCCACCCCCCTCCACAAACATGAGTCACATTATTATATGTGCAGTCATTGTTTTAAAACTTTGATCACCAGTATGCGCAAAAGTATTAGATAATGCAGATTCAAGAATAATATCGTTGTACTTGCCTCGCAAAAATACTTTTTAAGTTATATATGTGCGGTCACTTGCAACATGGTTTTAGTTCAAATTTGAACTAAGACCATGTCACTTATTTTGGATTGGAGGGAGTATCTTTTTACTATATTTTAGGCATAATGCAAGTGAAAAACTAGCAAACATTGTGCATTGGAGACCGGGAAAAACTAAACGCGCCATATATTCAAGAATTACCTCACCACTTGGTGGCATTACCAGGATGCTCAGACTGATTCAAGTCCTCTTTTCTTCCAATCACAGTCTGTACTGATCTATACACAAATCATGTGTTCGACATGAAAACTCCAGAATTGCGTTCGACGGGGTGGATCAGATGCAAACTATGCGAGTGTATAGGTAACACTGAAAAAACTACTAGCCATCACAGAATCAGATCCACAGAACAGGAAAGAGAGCAACATCTCGTGCGTGTTCTGGAAAAGAAATGCAAACTTCGATAAACCATAGGAGAACGTGGTCGAGGGCAAAAAAGCCAGAAACTTAGCCGGTTGTTACTAGTGGGGAAGGGGAGGGTTCCTCATCGCCATACAGTGAGCACTGAGTACTGCCCCTCCCACCGGCCAAATTCGATGCCGGAACAATGAATGATACGAAGAGAGATGCTGGATTTACACAAGCTGCAGCCTGCAGGAGCCTTGGTGCTCAGCTGTCACCAGTGCAGTGCAGAACAACGTTAAGAGCGGCAATCCAAATTGAGAAGCCAAAATCAGCCAGGATGCACGGACAAGGGCCCCGGAGGCGTTAAAAGTTCCACCCTTTGATTGAGCGTGTAGATCGAGGGGGATATCATGAGTCAAAAACGCCAGGATGAAGCCCCGAAATCGTCCAGGGAGAAAGCTGATGCCACTTATTACTAGGCTAATAATGCTCTTGTACTGTAATTTCTCGAGAGGGGTAAACAAATGCCCATGTTACTGCTGAAACACGCAGAGGACAGGACACTCATGGGAGGAGGAAGAAGATGCAAGCAGCTCACTGTCCCCGAAGAAAATATTCGACCGAAATGCACTCATGCACTGTTGAAAAAACACAGTTGGCACTCATGGAAGGAGGGAAAATATGCAAGCAGCTCACTCTCCTCCCAAGAAAATATCCTACTACCAAAATGTACTGCCGGTATGCAAAAGCTGAAATGCAAAACTACTTGCCAGCAGAGAGGGTGCCACATTAGCATAGCATATGAGCATCAATGGAGGTGCGGAGATTTTGTTGTTACCAGCAAGGAGGCGAGAGCTGTCGCTGCCGCCGCGGCTGCTTCCCCTGCTCCTCCTCTTCTCTTGATCACTAGCGCTGCCTGCGGTCACTCTCACACTCTCACCAGCCTATGGTATAATGAACAGTGTTCACCATGCAGTAGTAGTGGCGGCGTGCGGACATGTGGCCGGCTGGCTGGGAGGGAGGATAATAAAAGGGGAGAAGGGCGCCACCACGAACTGTTTCTTCCACCGGCTTCCCAGCGCCCTTGTTTTATGACGCCGCAGTATAAGCAATAGTAGACGTACTTCCCGTTTCTGTACAGGACTAGTTGCATACCCACATCAGCATTTGGTTAGCCCGCCCATTTTGGCTCAGAAAGGGGACCCCTGCCCCAACAAGCACTATGCTGTAGAATGCAACAATGGTGGTAAGATGGGAGCACCGGCAAAGCTGAAAGGGGGTGGTGTCCATGTACGTAGATGTAGCTAGCGGTTCAGTTCACTTGAAGTCATCATCTTTTTTTTTTGAAACGAGAACTTGAAGTCATCTTGGAATCAATATTGGTGTTGGTGTGCATTTGCGGCCACCTTTCTTCTTCTGCTGCTGTTACGGCCCTGTTTGGATCCCAGGGCTAGAGCTACTTTGAGCTACTTGGGGCTGAACTAACCCTTAAAGTATCCAAACACATGTGCTAGTTTGAGTTAGATTGGAACTAACCCATCAAAAAAACTATCCCTGTGGAGAGGTGCTAATTGGAGCTAGTTGTAGTGGGGTCCTAAAAAAAATTCTTTTTCTGTCGCATGCAGCCGCACCGGATCCTATCCATTCGTTCCCGTTGCATCTCGTTCTCCTCCTCCCGCTGGCCCCTCTTGCTCTGCATCGCCGGCCGCATCCGCTCGCCCAAACCGGCCGCCCCCGCCGCCCCCGTCTGCCCGCCCCCGTCCGCTTCCATCCCGCCGCACCAGTTTGTCCG